ATGTGTACATGTATGCGTGCACATGTATGTGTGTGTGTGTGTGTGTGTGTGTGTGTGTGTGTGTGTAACTGGGCATTGAACCCTGGGCCTTCCCACTGAGCTATATCCCCAGCTCTGTTTTATTTTTGTTTCTGAGACAGGGTCTTGGTGAATCGCTAAAGTGCCCAGGCTGGGCTTAATCTAGCAATCCTTCTGCCTCAGCCTCTCAGAGCTCTGGGATTACAGGCATGCACCACCATGCTTGTATTGAAAACTCAGTTCTTTTATCTAGGTGTTAATTCCTTTCTAAAATACTTATTTGCTTTAGTTGATTTTTAGAAATCGGTTTGCAGGAAACCTAACAGTATTTTTTTTCTCCTGTTTTGGAACACTGTAATCGAGTGAGAACAAACACCATCATAACTCAGAGCTGATTTACAGCCAAATTTAAATTATTTGTGCTTTGGAGAAGAGAACTGGCAAGGACGAAAGGCCCATGGCTTGTGTGTATTGTAAGATAATTGTAACCATGGTAGTATTTGTTTCCTAATGTTATGTGTTGCTACATCTTAGTGATGAGGTTGACCATAGATAAAACGCCCATTTGTATGTTCCTAGTTAAATTTAAATGATTCCAACAACATTATTCCAACATTAGAAGTAGTCATTTCCTATGAAATTGCTGGTTCCATAATTTGCTTTATCTTATGTGGAAGTGGTTTTCTGCCTAGGTTAGTGATGTCTCTAAACAACGTAAGTTTTCAAGAAGACATATCCTATCAGTGATATCTCTTTAAAATCCAGATAAAGGAATATGAGAAGCTTGACAATGAGGAAGATCGCCTATGTAGAAGTCGGCAGATTTATGATGCCTACATCATGAAGGAGCTTCTTTCTTGTTCGCATGTAAATATTACTTCTTGTTCTGTTACTTTAGTGTGATAACTATGAGACTTCTTTCAGCATTTCCAGAATGAACCTACAAGAGTAGGAAGATGTTTAGAAATTTTAAAATGCACATCCAGGGCAGAACCTATTTCTCATTTTGTCAGTTGTTTCCTTGTGATACACAGTATCTTTTGCATCATGATCACTTAGTGTATTTCAAACACTGATACTTTCATTGCAAAAAATTGATGAAATAGTTAACTTGGATCCACTGAAGAAAAAAATCTCAATTCTAGACTTTCTGAAGAAAGTTAAGCTTTATTATTTTAATGTACTTATGCTTTAACAATTTAGTTAATCAAACATTGATAAATATAAATCTTAAATGTTTTCTTTGAATTAATAAGGATTGTAATTATTTTATTAATTTTGTTCATGAATAGTTAAATAATGGTTGAAGTAACTGTTTTCCTTGTGAACAAGTAAAGAGTAACTTGGCTGTTAGTTAAACTGAGTTCTTAGGAAATTATTTCACAACCAATTTAAGTAGAATAATTAGTAATGAAAATTTACCATGTAAAAATTTGTATGTTAATATTGTGTTTCACAGAAGTGGACTGACAGTCCTAGCCTACTCTGTCCAGTACAATAGCCATTAGCCACCAGTGACTATTGGAATTTGTTTAATTAAATCAGATGAGATTACAAATATATTTCCTTGGTTCCTCCTGAGCCACATGTAACTCAAGTGCTGTACAGCCCCATGTGACCAGTGGCTTCTGTATGGGATGGCTCAGGAGCATAGGATTTCCATCATGGCAGAAAGGTCACAAAAGTGATGCACTATAGTACTTGTGCCCTTGGTGTGTTGTTACAGTTCTTACTGTCACTTGAGTAACTGTGGCTAAAGATGACACCTCTGGTAGCTTCATTGCTTCACTGTTCTTTGGACCTGCATTGCTTGCACGGAAAGAATTTCTAAGCTGGAGCTAATTGTTGGTCCCAGGGCCTCCCTGGCATGCTAGGAAGGACTGAGCCCTTAGAGAAGGCCAGATATTCACAGCAACTAGAGGGGCTTTGGCAATGTGATGTAGTGTTTAAAGCTATTCCTAATGTGCCTATGTAAAGAGGATACAATTTGAAGTTTTGGGGAGGTTAAGTTTGTAATTCACATCTCTGGAAGCTCCATCCTGCTTGCTTCAGCTCCATTCTGTCAAGGCTGCAGTGAGACTTTCTTGAACTCAATACTTTTTAGCACTGTGGCTTGGCTTTGTAAACCTGCCGTTTAATTCTTAGGCACAAGCCCATACATTTGTTTTCTGTTATCGGAGACATTTTACATTTTTAGAAATTTTATCAACCAGTGAAAGAATGTATGCATTAGGTAATGGTAGGGTTCTTCACCATTTATCACCACAGTAACTTTGACCTCCTGTGGGATTAGATATGTCAGATAGGCCGTGTTGTGCTGCTGTCATTTTAGGCACATGTCTGAGAACTCCAGACATCCAGAGGAGTTGTTGAATTCTCTACAAACAGACTACAGATCTTAAAAAATGCTTGCTAATATAATTATCATAGGTTACTTTAGGTTATACCATAGGTTATTATATCATCGGTAACCATTTAGTAATTGTTGTATTAAATTGTCTGTTATTTATATTATATTATGTACAGAAGTTTCTTATATTTGCTGTTATTTAAAAAACATGTCTTTGATTTTTGAAAGCCATTCTCACAGCAAGCTGTAGAACACGTACAAAGTCACCTGTCCAAAAAACAAGTGACGTCAACTCTTTTTCAGGTAAGATAAAATTATTTTAAAACAAAGATAATTTTCTTATCATTGGAATTTGGTGACATTCTTTCTTTGTGCACAAATGTACTAGAGGAATTGCTTTGTATGACTGTTCTCACTAGACCGGCTGAAGCTTACTATGGTTTGTCTTCCATTGAAATGTGCACCTGTACCAACAGGCTTTGCAGACTTGCCTGAGGAGAGTCACTGGAGCTTTCTAGTAACATTATGTGCTAGAGGCTGGGGATTTAGCTCAGTGGCTCCGCCGCCTGCCTTGCAAGCGGAGGGACCTGAGTTCAATCTCTGGTACCAAAAAATTAAAAATAAATAAATAAATTAAAAAACATTATGTGCTAGAAATCAAGACAAGACATTGGATAAGACAGCTTTTCCTCATTTGACATTTTAATACCTGTGATGAATAGGGACTTTACAAGATTTATTTTGTAGTGTCAGGGTTTTTGTACTTGCAGTGAGTATCCTTCAAATTAAATAAAATTTATTTTCCAAAATCAAGAGTGAAAGGTTGAATGACCTTGATTTACAACTGAGGAAGTGTATTTGACCTTGACCATTAATATCTTGAGTATAATACAATTGTACATATTTAAATAACAAGAATTAGCAAAATGTACAACTAATAAGCCTATGCATTTGCTGTTGTTCAGGTCAAATGGCTTCTCCTCCTCATCAAAGCCTTTTGCATCCTGTTTTCTGTAAAGGAGCAGTAGTGTTTGCAACAACAAATTCTCCAATAAATAATGTACTTTTTATGTTTCTAAGAAGTGAAAGAATGCCACTGAGTAATGTAATGATTTTTATAAATCAAAATGATCAATTTATTCTTGTCCTGGATTATTCAGTTGTTTGCTGTTGGTTGATTATTTTTATTTGATGTCTTATGATAGTGTTTATGCGAAATGAAGTTGATCATTCTACAGAGAAAATACCAATTTAACTCTTAGAACATTTGGACAGTAACAAGTCGGATGTTACCCTTTTGTCAAAATAGCTAGATGGATTTTTCATAAAATGTAGAACCTGTCTGTAGAGCCCAGTGGGTTTTAAGCTTAATATCTGAATTGAGCTCACCCGACCTGTGTTTCAGCTGCAGCTTCCTGACTCCATGTTCTCACCAGCAGTGGGGAGATGCCAGGCCCTCACCCTCAGAGGGGGTTCTGAGATTCCGTGAGGAAGGTACACATAGGCTGCTTTTCACTGGCCCGAATACTCCCCAAATGTTAGCTGTTACTGGATATGTTGAAGTCAAAAAGTACAATGTGATTATCTGCTTTTTTTTGTCTCCACATTTCTACATCAGAATTTTATTTTTCAACTAACTTTGCCATGGAGTGCCAATAGCCCTATATAAGTCAATCACATCTAATACTGCTAAACTATACCTTATAGTTTACAGTGTATTAGTCAGGTTTACATTGTATTTTGTAAATAAATAGAGGCTTATTTAGCCATTATGGAGGCTGAAAGTCTAAGATCAGGCAGCCCGATCAATTCAGCCTCTGAAGAGTGTCCCCTTGAGTGTGTCACACAATGGGGACGTGGTGTCCTGGCAGGAGTATGTGCTGGAGGGAGAGATCACCTGGAGAGACAGGAAACCACAGAGATAAAGGAGGGACCAGGCTTATTATTTTTATAGCAACAACCTCTCATGAGAATTAACCAGAGTTCCAAAAGAACTCCATCCATCCCTTCTGGGAGTAGCACCTATGGTGACCTAATCATCTCCTCTGGGCTCCACCTCTTAAAGGTCCCCCCACATTGCCACATGTTCAACCAAGCTCCCAACATGTGAGTCCTTGGGGGACACACTCAACCCATACCTAAACCGTAGCACATGGGATTTTATTCAGATTTTCACTTTTCCTATAGCATAAATAACATTGAAACAAGATTTTTCCAGGTGAGATAAAAATGACAGTAAAATTCTTCTCATAACTTCAGGGAACATCCATTTAGAAGCTATTTATTTAGATGTCTTTTTAAAACTCTTTACCAATTTGTTTTGTTCCTTAAAAAATTAATGAAAATAGTATTCTGGTGAAATTGATATAGAATGGGTAGTATTCTGTTTCAGAAGAGAAGAAGATATTAAATTCATTAAAATGAATGTATTAGTGTAATTTAACATGTAACATCAGAGCATAGTGATTAAAACATAAATAAACATTTTATGTTTGATTGTCCTGTTTATAAAGTTGGTTAAAGTTCATAGTAATAAAAATGCTCCCCAAGTAAATGAAAAATATTTTTATTAAATTCATTTTGTTTGCAAGCTCAACTTTAGAGGTAAGTGTTTGCATAGGTACTTTTGGTAGTGGGGGCTAGAAAAGGTCCTGGATGGTGTTTGGATGCCTAAAAATGTAACATTCTTACTTTAATTCTTAAAGTAGCCTTCCAAATGAGATCTGGCTTTTCTGCCTCCGCCTCCCCTTTTTGTGGTACTAGGCATTAAACCTGGGACCTTCTCATTGAACTACATCCCCAGTCCTTTATAAAAAATTTATTGAGGGGCTGGGGATTTAGCTCTGTGTTTCTGCTGCCTGCCTCGTAAGCACAAGGTCCCAAGTTCCATCCCCAGTACCAAAAAATAATAATAATAATTATTGAAACAGAGTCTCACTAAGTTGCCAGATTGCCCAGGCTGGGCTTGACTTTATGATCCTCCTTCCTCAGCCTCCCAGAGTGCTTGGATTTACAGCCATGTGCCAGTGTTCCTGGCTTCTCCTTTTATAGATTAAGAGAACAGAGGACCAGAGAGAGGAGCAGGTGCTCATAATCCCGCTGCCACTTCTGGCTTTTGCACTGTACCCTGGGCATGTTGGTGGTTCCTTCTGCTGAAGCAGTGCAATAAGGTGGTTAGGAATTCCTAGAGACTATTGTCTTTTTACTCTTTAGTGGAGAGTATGGGATGTTTGACAAAATAGAAAAGAAAAATATTAATTGATGTAATTGTTTTTATAAATAGAAAGTCTATGATATGTAAATTTAGCCATTTTATAGATCTTTAAACTCTTGATCTGCTTTGTGTCTTGAAGTCTACAGAATCTTTTGAGACTTGCAGAGGACTTGGCTAGGATGGATGTGGTGTGTTGCCATGGAATCCTAGTTATTCAGAGCTGAAGAGTACTTCAGAGAGTTCAGCTTCCCCTTTTATCAAGGAGGGAGCCAATTCCATGTGGCTTCAGGGACCAGTCCCAGAGCCTTCTCCAGACAGCAGTAGCACTGGGGGGAGGGGGCAGAGGTTGGAATGTCCCCAAGGAGTCCCCCTTGCCAGTGCAGACTCCTCTCTGCAGCAGGAAATGAGAGTCTGGTCTTCTTGGCTTCTGCAGACTTCTACCCTTAACCATTCTGGACCATGTCATGATTAGTTGTTCTTTTTGTTTTTGTTTTTGTTTTTTTGTTTTTTGTTTTTTGGTACCAGGGATCGAACTCAGGACCTTGCGCTTGCAAGGCAGGCACTGAAACTGTTGAGCTAAATCCCCAGCCCCTTGGTTGTTCTTTTTGTAAACATTCAGGATGATCCATAAAGTCATCAAAAGTATTAAATTTTCCATTGTTCAACAGTTTAGGTCATTGAGATGTTTTCCAAAAAGATCTCGTTTGACTCTCAGTTGAACTGTAAAATAGTGAGTGCCACACTTGATAATTTTATTGTGTCTGATTTAAAATTGCTCACCTGAAACAGTTTATGCTGCTTATTTGCTAATGGATAAAGCAGCACAGAACTACAGTAGATTGTAGTTGCTCTGAGGGGAAAGAAGTGTACACATGAACCAGGAGCCTCTGGCTTCAACCCCATTAGCCATGAACTTGTTCAGAGATTTTGGGGATGTACCTGCCTGCAGTCCCAAAGCCTCCTTATCTGCAAGTGGGATTAACTGACTGGGATTAACTCTCCCTCCTGGTTACCTTTACTTCTGATTCTAAGTGGGCAAGATAGCCAGTTAAGGTAACTATGGACTGGGGCTGGGGATTTAGCTCAGTGGTGCCACCGCCTGCTTCACAAGTGCCAGGTCCTGAGTTCGATCTCTGGTACCAAAAAAAAGATAACTATGGACTTATTTGCTTTCAGTCTTTAAAATGCAATATGAATATAGATCACAAATGCTTTTAGTAGTTTATAACTTACAGGGCCCAGTACAAAATGAAAACATGGGGCTCCTTTTCAAAAATTATTAAGAATTTTGAGATAGAGGAGCATGAAATGCAATGCCAGGATCTTCAGAGTTGCACACCCACAAAGCTGTCCTTGGTCATTTAGGAAGTGTCCATGACTTGCCAGGAGCCTTACTAGGCACTAGGGATGCAGTGATACAGACCTGCCCCTGTCTTCATGGGACCTAGTATTGGAAACAGCTATGAAATAAACAGTCCTGATAGTGAATCTCTTAGTGAAAACTGGACAGGTACCAACAAGGACAAGGACACGATGCTGTGGAAGTGCATCACCATGAACCTCACCTGGGCTGAATCTCTTTGTTTATATCTTTCATTGTAATATACTCATGCTTACAGTGTGGGATTTCTTTTCCATCTTTTCCAGCCATACATAGAAGAAATTTGTGAAAGTCTTCGAGGCAACATTTTTCAAAAGTTTATGGAAAGGTATGCAACTTTATACATACATACATATACATATATACATACATACATATTGGCCATGACTTATGTGTCAGCCTTTGTGCTAGACTGTTTCCTGTATGCATTATAATTTAGGGTTTTTATAGCTTCACATTCCTTTGGCCTTCAGTTCTTCAGCTTCAATTGATCTAAAATTTAAATAGACAAGGGAAATTCAGTTTTAAAAGTATCTTATTGGAAAGCCTTTGTAATGCAAGTATGGGTGTGATTTATCAGATTTATTTCCTTGGATTGTGATGGCATATCTCCCAAAGGTAGACAAACCTAGGCTCCATTCTTCATGTACTAATGGAATTTAAGGGCATAGGCTAAAGTGTGTTTATGATTGTATGCACCATTAAAATACCTAAGAATTATGCTCCTGTGGGTTACTCAAACCATAGAGCATGTTTGTCATGTAATATTCTGCAATTTGCCAGTAGTACCTATAGAAACATTTGTCTCTTGTGCTGTTCAGATACCTACCCATCAGTTCTTCTATGGGTCATGCCTCTGACAGTGCACTGTTGGAATTAAACTTCCTACAGCCAAGTCGGCCTTCACACTGACTATCCTTCTCACCCTAAACTGGGATCATTTCTAGATAGTTGACACAATGATCATATCTCATTGCTGGAGCTGTATGTAGCTGCTCAGTAATTGTACCTAAAGAACAAACACTGCTTTTCTGCAGTTTTCTTCTCCACGTACTCACAGAGCTAAATCAATTAAAAATTGTGTTTTGGGCTGGGGATTTAGCTCAGTGGCACTGCACCTGCCTCGAAAGTGCAAGGTCCTGAGTTCAATCCCCGGTACCAAAATAAAAAAACTGTCTGCCGCCATTCCACTGCTCCTAGGGCAGAAGTGAGCCAATCCCAGCACCCAGGAGGAGGCTACACACCACCATTCCACCGCTCCTAAGGCAGAGGAGGTGAGCCAATCCCAACACCCAGGAGGATGTGAGCTGCACAGGTGCCAGCAGCAGCCCCCTGCCCCCCGTTGAAATGAGGAGACACGTAAACAAGCCCCAAAAACAGATTTCCAGATCACCTACAGCAATCCCAAAGGGAAATGAGATGGAACAATCTGATACTCAACCACCTGGACTCCCTGAACTGGCAACAAAAGAGGATCTGGAAAAAATGAAATCAGAAA